TATATTTCAAAATGGACAAAACCACTGAGAATGGGGGAAATAACGTTTTGACAGAAGGAATTATTCTAACTTGATCGAGAGAACTGGAAGAAGAACAGTTGAAAAAAGCAGTGAAATTCATAGGTTGAAGTTCCACAAACAAATGTTTCTACAGCTGCTCACTGACCTCCTATTCCCCCTCATTTTTAATTACTGCCACTTTCCCTACTCCTCATTAGCACTTATGCACCAACTCTTTTTTTTGCTTGCACAAAAAAGTACAAGTAGACGAGTTGAATTTCAAAAGAATTAAAATTACCAATCAAAAATCATGTTTCTTTTTAATTGGATCAATTTCCATTGATTAAACAACTATGCTCTTAACTACACTGAGGTACCCAAGCACCTGAAATGAGGTGGAATATCTCCATATCTTAAATATTTGTGCTTGCTGCCTTCTACACTTCACAGTGAGTCAGAATATTAGTGGAGGCATAAGCAGCAAAGAACAAAAATATGGCACTGAAATATATTCTGAAGATCTTTCACCATTGCTTTTCTTGCAGGAAGTTGAAAGCTCAGAAAATTTTCAAAGATACAGAAAAAAATTGAAGAAAACCTGGTTTAAAGTTTCTTTTTATTTCTATACTACCCCTCCTCTTTTAGTATTATGTTAAAAAAAAAGTTATAAAACGTTTATTTTTGCCATCTGTGGTTGCATGCATAATTACCACAGAAACAGACTCAAATATGCAATGATGTAGGAGTATGACTTTTATCCTGCATAAGTCATCGGCAAAAGTTCTTGTAAAAAGACTGTATACATCAGTAGTTGAGCAACTGAGGATTATGTATTTTCTTTACATGCTGTCCTTTTTTAGCATATTTGAAAAACACAGTTAGACAGTTAAAAAAGGAACAAGTGATGAAAGCGGTCCATTTAATTTACATATGAGGAAATCAGAGATTATAAAGTGAGAAAAAAAGCTGGGGAAAACCTAATGTTTTATATGAACATTAAAATTATTCTAGAAACCATACACTTACTACATTCGGGCAGGTTTCAATAGAACTAGAGCAGCTGTGACCCCTAAATAAGTTACAGCTACTTCTGTTTAAACTCTTTTTAGCTGTAAACAAATTTATGAAACCAGTTTATTATCACTAAATAAAAGCTTGGGGAGGCATTTTTTAATATAAATAAATTCATGTTTCTTCACAAATTAAACTAGCAGATTTCCCTTTATAGAGCCTTTCATTTTCCAATCTGTTAAAAAGGTCTCGGACTTCTAGAGGGAATTTCTGTCACTTAAAATACTTATATTTTCAGTCTTGCATAAGAAACTCTTTTCATCCTTTCTTGGCTAATGTTAAGAAACCACAGATCATTGAAATACGCTTCCCTTTTCCAGATGATTTCTCCTATCAAGTTTCCTAAATTTAACTAGATGATATACCAGTCTTGTTAGAATGAGGGCATTTTTCACAAAAAATTTTTAGAAGAAATAATGTAAATCTGAAAAATTGTACTCCTGTTATTATAAATAATTCCTCTGATTCCTACCAATTCATTTCCTTTCTTCTGTTTGTTTATCTTAGAGCAAACAGCTGTGAGACGCTGTGTCAAACCTTTTTTTCCTCTTTATTTTTCACTTCTGTCAGCAGGGCTTTTTGTTAGTAAGGACAGTGAGGAACACAGTTGCTGTAATGTTGACAGTAGCTACCTAGCTGACTTCCCACCACTTAAAATATTTTCAACATTGACTAAGTTTAAATAACTCTCTTCACACTTTTAAATATACACCACTGAAAAAGCCTTATTTTAGAAATACACATTCAAGTCAGCCAAAGCAAAAGTGACAATATTGTTTTAAACAAATGTTGAACGGGGGAGACATTGATTTCTCAGAACAACCCTGCCAGCAGCACCTGCTGGGACTGAGATACTCTGGGCAGAACAGACCGGCTAATGGCTGGCACAGTGGGTGACAGGAGAGCAGCAGATGTTGTTTATCTTGACTTTTGCAAGGCTTTTGACATGTCTCCCATAAGATCCCCACAGATAAACAGAAATGGACAGTGAGATGGGCTGAAATCTGGATGAACTTTTGGGCTCAAAGGGTTGCAATCAGCATGAAGTCCAGCTAGAGAAAAGAGTACAGAACTATGCTGCTGGTGGACCCCAGGGATCAGCACTAGGGCCAGTACCTTTTAACCACTTTACTAATGACCACTTCACAGTGCACTCTCAGTAAGTTTTCTGATGACACCAAATGGAAGGAGTGGCTGATGCACCAGCTGGTTGCACTGGCATTCAGATGGACCTTGAAAAGCCTAAGGCATAAACCAAAAGGAATACTATGAAGTTCAACAAAGGGAAATACAAAGTTCTGCACCTAGGGAGGCATAACCCCAAGCACCAGAACAGAATGAGGGATGATCAGCTGGGAAGTGGTTTTGCAAAAGAAACACCTGGGGGTCCTGGTGGGCTCCAAATAGATCATGAGCCAGCAGCGTACCCTTGAAGCAAGGAAGGTCATCAGCATCTTGTGCCGCATTAGGAAAAATGTTGCCAGTAGGTCCACCCTCCACTCAGCACTGCTGAGACACGTCTGGAGGGCTATGTCCACTCATGGCCTCCCCAGCACAAGCAAAACATAAGCATCCTATAAAGCAGTCCAGTGTAGGACTGCCAAGGCGATTAAGGGATTGGAGCATCTGACGTGGTGAGACTGAAAGCACTGGGACTCTAGCCTGGAAAAGGCTCCAGGAGATCTTCCAGGAGATCTTATCAATGTGTAGAAATACCTGAGGGGGACAGGGTAAACAACATTTCTCAGTGGTGCCCAGCAACACGGCAAAATGCAACGGGCACAAACTAAAACAGATTAAATTCTATCTGAACAAAAGAAAGCACTTTTTTACTCTATGGTAGTTCAAGCACTGGAAACAGCTGTCCAAGCAGCAAGTTGCTTTAGTTGATCCTGCTTTGGACAGCAGGGATGTTGGACTAGACAATCTCCAGACATCCTTTCCAACCCCGGGTATCCTATGGTTTTTTTGTGGAAGAGACAAAAGGAGGGAAACTACATCTGAGTAATGTGGACTATGGACTTAATATCAGTTGTTTTCTATGCAAACACCAAGCCTTCAATAAGATAAAACAATTCCCTTGTACATCAGTTGCTTGTGTCTGATTGCACTATATGAAGTCAAGTTGTTTATCTGACTTAGGAAAAGTCTCATTGTGCAGATACTACAAAACAAGCTCTTTTTCTCTCCCATGCGTTTCCTGATGGCCAAGCCTATAGATCTAACCAGTATGAGAACTACCTAACATAGAGAATAAGACAATACATTTGCTTTCACCAGTCAAATAAATCACCTTATTCTCTATTGCAATGTCCATTTGTATCAGCAGACTTCCGCCACTTTAATGGATTCCTTTGCCTCTCATCCAGTCAGTATTCAAGCAGTAAAGCTAGTTAAACCAAAACAGGGCAATGGGAAATCATCTTTCTCCTTTGATAAAGCCTATTCTCTCACATCAAAGTATTGACAGTTTTGTTTCACCACTGTAGGAAAAATGAGAGGAACCAAGAGAACGTCACAGAGAAAAGCTAGAACATCTCATTCATGAAGAGCAGGCACCTGTGCACTGACCCAATTAGGCATTCAAACACTTGTCACTTTGGAGCTGGCTGGTTGTCACTCATCCAAGTAGCCCCAGGGGATGTATTGTATGGTGGCATTCCCTGACAGGAGAACTGGAGCTATGGAGGCAATGAAGGCACAGTGATAGGGTGCCAGGATCCTGGTGAGTGAGAGCAGCCAGTAGCAAAGCCAAAGAACTTCAGAGCTTCCTTAACTTGATTACCATCCAAAAACCCTTTCAGAGTCTTCAATGGTCATCTTTTTTTCAGAGCAATCTAGTTTAAAAAGCTTACAGTAACAGTCCTCTTTCTTCAAAGATATATTTAACTCTTGAGTGACTAACACAAGAACCGTTTCAGAAGAGATAAAAACCAACCAAACAAAATATCTGCATTTCAGGGAGAGGATGCACTAAATATTACTTTTAGTAACACTGTCAGCATTTAATTCAGAAGTCAAAACATTTCAGTGACCATCTCCTCCCTTCTCTGTTTTAAACATATTACTGATGCTTTCAGATGCTCTGTCTGCTAGACCACAGAAATGAGGGATAAAACACTGCGCAGCCACCCACGCCTGCACACTACAAAAGACAGAAAAGGTCTGTTCTAGTAAACTACACACAATACTGTATTCAAGACCCCCAAATCATATTTGTAGTAAAAAAAAAAACAACCAGATACTAAAATACAGATGACTATTCAGCAGCTACTACTCACTTCGAGTAAAGCTATCTCTGTTCTTAAACTGAAAGAATTATGCAATTCAAACACAAGAGCAGAGGGGTTTGTAGGAGGATTGGGGTGGGGAGGGAAACAAAAGCTTACTTCAGAACTTCCAAAATGGGCATTTTAACCTTAGGACCTAAACCATGACAACAAAGACTTCATAATGTCCCCATCACTAAATCTGTAATCTATGCTAGAAGAAAAAACTTCCAATTTTCTTGTACAATATTTCACATTCCTTCCAAATCCATTTTTCCAGACTCACTTTTTACTAGTTGACTTGTCCTGACACCTGTTCTCTCTAGTAAGGAACATGAGACATGAGTAAGTCTACTTTCAATTATGTGAAGCTATGAAATACTTTTAGCTGCTTTTCTAGTTAACATATTTGATATGTGCCCTTCAGTTAAAAGCTGAGTTGAAATTAAAAAAATTATCTGAATCACAGACTGTTAACTCAAACAAACATGGAAATGTACGTAAATGCAGAACATGTTATATGACTACTCTGGATAGTAATTAACAGAAACTAAATTGAAAGATAGAAATGTAACAGACAGAAACTTAATGCCAGTAGTTTGGAGGTTTTTTTCCCAGATAACATGGGAAAATAGAATTTTGAGGGAAAAATTACCTTACCTTTGTACAAATAACTTCTGAGCAAGACGGTCTATCCTTTTTCTTTTCCTTCTTTCTTATCCCCTGTATGACAGGTCTTTATGTCACTGTTTTGCCTGAAAAAATAATATAGAACCTGAAATATTCATAGAGGCCAATAATCATGTTCACTGCTAAATTACAACAAATACTTCATATATGTCTTGATAAAGCCACAATACTAAATACAGTTAAGTCAAGTGGAATAGTAGAATATATATGTTAGGCCAAAGAAAAAATAAGAAGCATTAAAAACAAAAGCAGCTCCCTAGGTTTCAAAATCATGTTCTGCATTTGGGTCTCCAAAATAGCCAGTTACATTAGATCAAACCGGAGCACCCATACAGTTATCCAGGTTCACTGTACCATCAGTGATAAACAGTCAGTGCTCCACAAAGCTTGAGCAAGCCAATAGAGAAGCCTAACCACATCTTTTCAACGTCCAGTAACCCAACTTAAGGCACACTGGGTACCTCTTTCTCCTCAGGACTAAAGACTTCAGTGCTCTTTGGGATACAGATGCCAAAGCTTCTAAAGACACCTACTGGAAGAGGTCATAGCAGCTGACAGCAAACCTCTATTGCAGGAAAAGCCTTTGGTCACAGAACTTGTCCAGAAAGAGAGAGATGTGACTTATAGGCAACTTGTAATCTGTCTGATCTCCCACTTTCTAGGAGAATATCTTATATTCTAGTGAAAGGATGGGACTGACAAACACCTCCTAATTTAAAAGCACAAGATAAAGAGGAAACAGCAGGAGAGGTTTGTTTTGAATTCAGCTGCTCCTTTCCTTTATTTATTCACAAGAATTGTGCACCCAATTCCTCTTGTCCCTTACTTTTTGTTACTTTAACCTATTTTAAACACAGTTGGCTGAGAAGAAGTTTGCTTATCTTTCCATGGCAGTAATGCCTATGTGGAGTTGAACTTTCAAGTGAGCAAGGTTCAAGTAGGATCAGGAATTTTGCAAATGAACTTCAAAAATTTTCTAACTGAGGATTTCCCTTACAGTCTTTTAATTTTACAGCACATTTTGCTCACCTGCAAACTCAGCAATGCTTGCCATAATATGCAGTCCTTATTTCAGTGAACTGGTGCTGAACTGAAGCCAACAACAACAAATTAGCATCACTGCAGCACCTGTTATTGTGTGTACTGTACATAAAAGTCTATAGATTTTACCTGTAGGATAGTAATTAAAGTTCCTTGTTTACTTTTAACTGCAGATTGGCATTGTTTTGTAAGGTAAACCAGGAGAAACTGCAATATCTCAGCTTACAGCAGTGATACAGGAAGATCAGTTTAATTTCCCATCAAATTGATAATTCAATCATACAATTTCTTTCTGTATACTTTTAAAAGCCTTTTACTGTTAATTTGGTCTGCCAGTAGGCAAAACCTTAACTGTTGACTAGAAACTAGAACTCTCTTGTAGTTTTTTTTTCCAGTAACAGACAATGCTTCTCATCAACTGATTTTTATCATGCTCTTTTCAAAACAACTTGTTGCTCTTACATAATAAAGTACTGGAAATAATACATTATCTTTGTAACCTCAGGAGTTTTGGCATATATAATTTATTTCACTGGAGTGAAATTCACTTTTGAGATTCACTCCATTGCCTTCATCTTTATTCCAGCACTCAAATTGCTTGCAACCCCCGGCCTCTACATTCAGCTGGAACAGCTCCCTGCAAACCAGCAAGACCTTGATGAGCCAAAGTCAACACGGAACTTGCATGCAGCAGTGCTACATGCGTGCAACTCCTAATTGGCCACGGCACAGTCTGACAATGATCACACAGATCCTACTATATCCAGGTAACAGCTGCATCTACCCTGCCATTAACGCTGCTTCCTGGCTGGTTCAGTCCACCAACTCACTGTCTGCAAGACAAAACCAGAGCATGCTTTAGAGAATGTTCCAGCCCAAAAGAACCCTTCCAAACAACAGCATGGACAAGACTGCCTTAAGTTTTGATTTTCCACTCCAGACAGCCCTGCAATTCTCCCATGCCAGGCACTGCATCCTCAGCTGCAGCCTGCCTCTGCCTCCATGGAACACCCTGCAGCACCCCATGGATTTACAGTATTAGGCTGCACCATCATAACGTTGATGGGCTGCAACACAGACCTCACCATTCCGGGTACTCTGAACTAAAGGACACCAGCTACGTATTAGGGCTGTAGAAACACCACAGCACCCAGACAACACTCAGATCACAGCCAGGCTGCTTTTTCTAAAGCATTAAAATGCAGATGCAGACCAGCCTTTGCCAACCAGTCTACCCTGATGACAGGAATTTGTCCCTGACTTGTTATTACCAGTAAAGAACATCTGTAGCCTCAAGGGTGTTGTTTAAAAGTTAGGCATGATCTGAAACCCAGGGATGACTTGTGTAAGACCTCACGTAAAGCAGAAAACCACACCTCTGCTGACAGTGCAGGAAATCTTTTGCAGAATGCTAACACTCATTAAAAGAAGGAGAAAAACCTAATATGAAAGGAAAAATCAAGGAGGAGGGTAAAAAAAAAATGTTTTTTGAAAAAGTCTGCAGATTAGAGGAAATATGTTTTAAAATTTATTAGATATATTTGGGGTCATGTAATCTGCTTAGCCACTAGCATATTGTGGAAATGTAAAGCATACTTTTTACTTTTCTGCACTTGACATTATGCTATTGCATATTTATTAATTTAAAAATTTGCAAAAGAACTACAATTTACATAGTATCATTGCTTTTCTAGTAACAGCATTGAGAGACTTCAGGGAAGTTAAATTTAGAATAAGAAATACATAGGTTGCAATAAGTAACTATGCAAAAAGTTCAAATGTAAAAAATCCATTTTTATTTTATAATCTGTTTGGTTAAATGGTTTTACATAAAATGTATTCAAAAATATTCCTTAAAATGTCAAGATATTTTTAATGTAGCCTTAAGAAGCCATAGTGAGACAATATGCAGCTTTCTCCTAAAATTAATAATATATCTATATACACATAAAATATAATTCAGTTTCTGTTTACTTTACAATACTGCAGAAAGTTCTTTAATACAAAATATTTGCTTTGTGACATATAAAATTCATTTAGTGTTTTTAAGCACAGTATTATGCAATCCAGTACTTCAGAGCTCCATTGTTCACCCTCATGTCCATTCTTTCAGAACTAAGGAGTAATGAGGAGCTCTCAGAAAAGGAGAAACTACTGCGATTGGTTGATGAGGGCAGTGATCCATCTTGCTGTCATATCTTTCTTATTTCTGGGTGAGTTCAACCCCAGATGATTCTGACAAAGTAGTAATGGAAAAAATATCCTGGAAATACAATAAAAGCAACTTTTTGGGTTTTCATTTCTGATACACACATCCTCATGAAGACATTTCCCAGGGAAAGTATTCCAGCCTAGATTATCCATAAGAACAATGTCCAAATTCTTACACATATTATACTAATCAAAATAGAATATAGACTTCATCTGATCTTTAACATGTTGCAGTCATGCCCTCCCTTCACGTATACAAATTATAACTGCATTGATTTCAATCCCTAGACTGTTAACTAAAGTCAAATGTTTCAGTGTTACATGGAGTAGGTTTATTCTGTTCAGAGTTATAGCCTGCATTTCCTCATGCTACTTCATTCCACATAAATCAAACTAACTAACACTATGATAGATAAATCTCAGCTATGTAAGTGATTGAGAAGTACCAGAATAGAAAAGGGAACTTGGCCGTTACCTTGTGCATGTAGCTATACAGCTGTCTTGGTCCTCTTCCTTTTTTGGTGGGTTACTTTTTCCTTTCTTTCTGTTAGTGAGAGGTAAGAATTTGTACCATGGTCTCCTTCATGTTGCAAACTTGACAAAACTCTGCTGTTAAGCCCTGCTGTTGCTGGCCTGTGTGCAGAAGCACGTACAAAAGGAGCCGCTTCCAGCGGCCCGTCGCTTTGTCCTCGGCCCTCCCAAGCTTCTGTGTGATCAGCACAGGCTTTGTGGCCATACAATAGGGGTTAAACATTTCCCTGTATTTATATAAAAGCAGAGCTAAATCTGCTTAGCTGCATGAACCTTTTAATAAAATGATGCACACGCTACTAGGGCATTTTTCCATTTGTTTCTGTGTTTAAAAGTAATGGGATTCTATTAACAAAACAAAAAAATATATATGGTTTCTTTTCATTATATGCAGTGCATAAAGTATGCAGCTGGTAAAAACCAACATTAAGATTTGTATCCAGATCTTACCTTATCCACAATTTCCCTCTAAGCAACTACCTGTAACTTGCCTCTTTACTCAGAGCTATAGTTTAATTTTTTCTTTACATTCATTCTACTTGATGACTTGCCAGTGGGACAATCCTCTGATCACCATCAACAGTGTCTGAGAGGCAGACCACTGCAAAAACTACAATATGTACTCAGTGGTGAAATTCCAGTGTAAAGAAGAAAATTTAAATGTACTGAGATACAAAAGAAAATATTTTAAAGAGTCAAATGTGCTTGCCTACAGTACTATAGACATGGATTTCACACACCATGTTAACCTCTGGACCACCTTTGCTTTCCAAGGAACTACCTTAAACAGTACAGAACACTGCCACTTTTCACAACTCCTGAAGAAAGAAACCCTATTTAAAAACTGTTGTTTCTGTTCTGCCATAAGTCCATATTTTTCTTTTCTTTTTCTTTTTTTTTTTTTTTAATTACTAGTATTTTCAAGTCCAGTTAAAACATTTCTACCTTTAAGGGCTTTTCATCTTTTTATAGGTAACAGTAAGAATTCCGTCAGACTTTATTAGCACCAGCATTAGTTCATAACAATAACCTCATCTGGTCCTCTGAAACCTACTCTGTTTTCAAGTCTTATTAGAACAATGCTTTTCCTCACAAAAGCATGAGCTGTACTTAAGAATCTACTTCAAAGCAGACTGCCAGCAAGGTTCAATAATGACTACATCCACCTGAACTCTTAAACTTGCTGAAATAGAACCAGAGTATCCTAACTGAGCTCCCAAGTCACATATATGCTGCAATTCTAGAGCTGCCAACACTTAAGCTGAGAAGGACAAAAAAAAAT